ATTTTTGACAATTTTTCATCATGATGTACTTAGTCTGATTCCTGTTAGCACGCGGTCAAGGAAGGGAGACTATCTTCCCAAGTTTGTATACGCTAAAAATCACACCAATACTTCCCCACAAGAGGATAATAACAATTTGTAGTTAAAGTGACGAGTATCTTGTTAAAAGGATGGGGTTTGCAGCTTGTGTTGGTTTGAGTCAGAACCAGCTGTTTATGGCTGATTAAGGTGAGAAAATCTACAGTCATTCACGATACTGACATCGTGTCTTTCCATAAGAATTAGTTATTTTGGTCTTTTGCACCCGCTTAAGACTGTAGCAAAGCAAAAAAAAAAAAAAAAAAAAAAAAACGAAGCAATTTTGTAAAAAACATTGATAAAACTGACCTTAATCAATTTTTACAGCATGGTGCAAGAGCGTCATTATCGTGCCAAGTAAAATGCATAGCCTCAGGTTTAAATATTATGTGACACGTCGATGGGGAGTATTAAAATTTATTTTTCGATTCAATACGTATGCTAATGATCGCCTTTTATTCTTCCTCAGCCATTTAATAAAACGATTTTATAAGCAATGAAAAAAACGTCTTCTTTAAAACGGTATCGACTCTCTGGTGTCTATTGCCAGATCCTTCTTTCCATTCCACGCATCAAACTTTCACCATTGAAGACTTTATTTCTTGTTAACATAGCATCATCGAAACGCAAGGGAGGCTGGGAGAATTCATATAATATTTCATCTTGATATTCCAAGCAACCTGTGACGTGTGAACGCGCTGGCCACATCACGGAGTTTATACATACCTCGCCGGACTTTCTAAATCGAACCAAGAGAAAAGTACCAAAAAAGCTATGGCAGAAGAAATAAACTAAGCCTGCCAGTTATCTCTCATTTGAGCAGCAGCCCGAGCGAGTACGCGAAAGGTCTCCAAGGGGTCTCTCATACTCGCGCCAGAACACTCACGAACATCTCGCTCGTTCCCAACGCTTGCCGGCTTAAGACCTGCGGGCTGCGCCCATCAGTGCCGAAGAAATAATGAGTAATAATGAGCAATAATGAGCCTACATACCTCAACAATTGACGGAAGCTCAGTTTTAATCAATCCATAATTTTTTTTCCTCTTTAGTATACACTAATCGTAAAAGTTATTTATTTAGTCAATGATATTAAAGTGGTCGAAGACTTTAGAGGGGAGATCTTTTAAGAGAAAAACAACAAAAATGAAATTCTTTCCTTTTCTCCTATGGTTGGGTCAAAGTGAGATAAAAATCAATGTCAGCAAATGTATTTTTCAACGGTTAGGTCAAACTAGGAGTGAAGCTAAAAAGCCTCTTTATTTATTTTGTCTTGCAAAAAATCATTTAGGACAGTTGAAAAATGTTTCCCTGCCAAAATAATGCCAAGTGTTGGAGACCATTTTTATCAACACCTTACTCTTCTGTTTTAAGTTGTATATTTATGTCTTCATACACAGAGAAAAAGCATATATAACAAGATGCTGAACGCGAAATTTATTGGTTTTTTTTTAGGACGTGATTTATGATTTATGATTTAAGGACGGTTCAACGAGAGGTGCAGCCGCTTTTCCGTTTTCTACTTCACCAAGATATATTTGTGTTTTCCAAGCTGATCAAGCGTTCTAGGTAAAGGGAATATATTGAAAAGCCGTGATTCGCTCAGATTTTCGTGCTGTTGCAAAGTCTTTTAGCGGTTTCCTAGTTTCCAATCTCTGCGCGGCGTTAGCATTTTGATATAATTTTCCGCACCATGTAGTCGAATTTTTTTTCCCAAGGAGTCTCAATGTCGTTTCATTCACGTATCCTAACAGCCAGGTGTGTTCTTGTTGTCCTTTTATCTTTCGAAATTCATTTACCTTATTTGTTATCATTGTAAATTACTGCCATTTTGGTAATTTATTCACGTATTTCAGAACCGCTGCTTAAGTCTATCGTTGCCCTAACATAGAAGTTTTTGTGTAGATATGTACTTAACGTTAGGGCCCTAAGACTGACCCCAAACCGGTCAGTTTTCATGGCAATCAATGATGCTACTAGTCGTTTTCGCAACATTTGCGATTCGAAAAAGTAACCCTTATTTCAGAGATTTAATAAAAAAACTTCATTGTTCGGATAAAACAGTTTCACAATAGACGTAATCCGTCATTTATTACTTTATTGATTTATCTATTAATCCATTAAGATCTTTATTAGCTTAAAGTTTTTTCCACAGCTGTTTTTATTACAATAACAAAAAAGTTATTTGACAAGTAACCCTGTGTTTACTCCGAATATCAAAAAGGGAGACTGCGTCGTCGTTCAATAATAGCAAACATTTGGCACAGAGGATTTCAAAATAACGAAACAAATAAATAACTGATGATCTAAAACTGAAACGATTGCGAGAGTCAAGTAAAATGCTGTTCACGGAAAACTACGACCTAAAAGCGCATGAAACGAGGTCACAGCACATTCAAACTAGCCTTAAACATCTTTAAAATACAATCATGAACATTACAATGAGCTCGTAACTCGAAGCGAATAGAGCGACCTGACATATCAAACCTGACGATCGTATCAAACATTCGATGATTAGTTTCAGCCCGCTCAGTCCAGTTATTTAAATTTTATTTCAGTTCAAATTCATCGCAAGACTGCAATTCGGCCGCCCCTATATCTTCGACAGCACTTGGATTAGTTTGCGAGCCCTTCATTGCGGAGTTTTTAGTATATACAGATGGAAAAACAGTGTTCAGCTTTCGTTTGAATCGCTCTTGAATCTGAGGGTGGAAAAGCGGAAAAATTTTAACTGCACATAATTAAGAAAAAACTGTAAAAAATTTTAAAAAAAGGTAAAATGTTTTTCAAAGTTCATCTCACCTGGGTGTTTCGCACACAATGCAGCACGAAAATCAGGAAGCCCTAAAACAAAAAAAAAAGGGTAGAGAATCATTTTTCTCTTTTGTAATGTATGAAGGGTTAAGGGTCATGTTGGGTTTCTGGAACGAATTAAGCTGAATTTTTACCCCATTTAAACCAGAAAAAAAAGATGATTAGTGGGACCAAGTTAAACTAATTGGAAATCAGCAACAGCGAGCTAAAAATTATTTTTTATGGTTTCCAGGAGATCACTAACTTGTATTTTCAACGTGCTAAACTGGACGCATACAAAAGTTACCTTAAGCCGCTTCTATGATAAAATAGAACAAAAACAAACAAACAAACAGACAGAAAAAAAAGTTTAAGTAAGTTTGGGCTTTGGTATGAATGTGGTATTAGTATTAAAACTTGTGTCAATTGTAAGAGTGATGTGAAAAGTGGCAAGAACTTTTATGTTATGAACAAACAAAGAAATCAGTTATAACTTATTTGTCCTTAGGACCAAATTGATCTCGCCACAACTAAAATGTCTACAACCATGCCAACAGAGAGATTTCTACTTTCTAGCGTGATTAATTTAATCTCATGAACCACGAGTCTAAGCTAACCTGCGTAGAGTTGAGGATGGTAAAAATATAAGTAAAAACTTTGTGCAATGGTGCCAGGAAACCAAACAACCACGAAACGCCCAGCAGGGGAATCATCACCACGCCCGCTTTAACGCCAAGTCTAAAGGATGAGAACAATTACAACGGGGCATGAGAGTTAGACATTTTACTTTTTTTTCCTTCAAATTTTATCACTATAAGACCACCCACTGATTCAGATTAATAGGGAAGTTAAG